ACGGGGTTTCACCATGTTGACCAGGATGGTCTCGATCTCTTGACCTCGTGATCCACCCGCCTCGGCCTCCCAAAGTGCTGGGATTACAGGCTTGAGCCACCGTGCCCGGCCCATATGCCAGTTTTATTTTTCCCAGCCAAATTTGTTTCAGTTTAATTTGAACTTCTGGAATGGATTCAGTAATATGCAGTTGCAATGATAATTTGGCGTATAAAAGTCGATATACACATACAATACTTTGTATTTCGGCCTCTTCACTTTTCTCTAGCTTGTTGTAAATACACTCATGTGTATTCTCGGTCTCAACCCACGTTACCAAATATTTAGATGATAAAATGATTTTTTTCTGTATATTTATGTTTTTTCATCCTTCACTGAAGAGCTGTAGAAGCTTATTCAACAAATATTTACTGAGTGCCTACTATATAGTAGGCACTACTCTAATCTCTAGGGTTTCAGAATAAGCAAAATAGATCAAAATATCTGGCCCTGTAGAAGAAGCATTCTAGTAAAAGGAATCATTATGTTCTTCATATGTTTCCTGCTAAATTTTGCCTTTTTCCTCTGGAAATAGGGTCAAATACACAAAATTTTAGAAATATTTCAGCATTTGTTTTATGAATGTTTAAAAATGTAAATGTGATCAGATGAGAGACCAATTTTAATCTTTTCCTCGTATCAACAGGAAGTGTAAATTAAAGTTTCAGAAATCCTTTGATAAACTTATCTGAACATAGTGCCATTTCATGTAATTATGAAATGGGTCAGTGTTGTAGAATTTTCAGAAAAACTAACACTTTGAGTGCCATTATTATTTGGCATATGCAGTCTGGTTTTTGCAGAGCTTCAAAAAATATCTTTTTAAATATTTTATTAAGGTATTTCCATTTCCTTGCTTCTCATTGGGATGCCTTCCACTTAAAAGATTGTTGACTTTTTTTAACAGCCTTTTGAGGGGTTGTGGAAAGAGAGAAATAGTACCATTAAATATGTGTATGAGAGATAAATCAAAATGCTAAATATTCATATCAATCATAAGAGCTATCCTTTTTTTCCAAAAATATTTAGAACTGTACTAAAAAAAAAACCCAAGGAAATATAGTTTTTCAGAAGGTTGAGATCCTTCTTTTACTGCTAAAAAGGGAGGTTTTTCTTTCCTTTTATAATATTCTTCAGAAGACTATAGAATGTTTGGTTTTGAGTTTAAGATAAAGTAAAATGCTCTGATTTTCTTGTTAATGCAGTTAAATCTTAGGAATAAATATAGAATTTCAACATATCACTAACAGTTCATACTTTGCAGGGGGTCACATTGGAAGAGCAGAATCTGATCCCAGGTTGGACATTTTACATAGACATCTTCAACGAAACTCAGAACGTTCGAGAAGTAAATCTCGATCTGAAAATAATATAAAGAAACTAGCTTCATCTCTTCCAGATAATAAACAGGAGGAAAATACTGCCTTAAATAAGGACTTTTTACCTGTGGAAATTCGTGGCATTCTTGATGACCTACAGCTGGATTCTACAGCTCACACTGCAAAGCAAGATACTGGAGAGGTACAGAGTCAGAAGTCATCAGCACCAGTACACGCTCCTAGGAGTCATAGCCCAGTAAAAAGAAAACCTGACAAAATAACAGCTAACGAAGAGCCCCCTGTTATTTCCAAAAGGCGCCACTATGACACAGATGAGGTACGACAGTACATTGTTAGGCAGCAGGAGGAAAGGAAGAGAAAGCACAATGAAGAGAAGAAGGCTCAAAAAGAGGCCACGGAACAGAAAAACAAACGATTACAAGAGCTCTACCGGAAACAGAAAGAAGCTTTTACTAAAATAAAAAATGTACCTCCTTCTGAGCCATCAACAACTAGGCGACTACAGGAAACTTACTCCAAATTGCTACTAGAAAAGACCTTGCTTGAAGAGCCATCTCATCAACTTGTTACACAGGAAACACAGGTAATAGTAGTGACATATTCAAAGGAGAGTCATTCATGATTAGGAAACACTTATTTGCTATACTATTTAAAAATTACTCATCATTCCTAGTATACTCAGATAATATTTATAATAATCGTGGCCTTCGTGAAATGTATTAAATAGGAAGAGTAATGAATGTGATAAATATAATGGAAAATAAAAGCTGAATTAAGAATTTGCTACAGTGATTGTTACTGATTTCTTTTCTTCTCATCATTACTATTAGTTACATCCCTGCATGGTTTTTATTGTAGTACTGAGCAAATACAGTTGACCATTGAACAATGTGGGGGTTGGGGTACCAATCCGTGTGCAGTTAAAAATCCACATACAACTTTTGATTTTCCAAAAACTAAACTACTAATAGCCAACTGTTGACCAGAAGCTTTACTGATAACATAATATTGATTAACACATATTTTATATGTTATCTATATTATACACTGTATTCCAGTGAAATAAGCTAAATAAAATGTTATTAAAAAATCATAAGGAAGAGAAACTATGTTGACTATTCTTTAAGTGAAAGTGGATCATCTGGGTCTTCATCCTTGTCATCTTCATGTTAAAGAGGAGGAGTTGGTCTTGCTGTCTCGGGTGGCAGAGGTGAAAGAGGTAGAGGTGGAAGGGGAGGCAGGAGGTGTGCACCACCATACCTGGGAAATTGTTTATTTTTTGTAGAGATAGAGTTTCACTGTGTTGCCCACACTGGCCTTGAACACCTGGACTCAAGTGATCCTCCCACCTCGGCCTTCCAAAGTGCCTGGCTCCTTGTTGAATTTTAGATGGTATTTTGCTATTAGTAGTGTTTGTTTTTTAAGACAAAATAAATTTGAATTGGTTTCATTTGAGGAAAAAAACCCTACATTTATGATCTTTGCAAAGCTGAGGTGACTTAATGTTTATCTTTGGTACTACCTGAATATATCTTTGTGATAGAACTCATATAAATTTGATGTCCTTTTCTCCTAGGCCAGACCAGGGTATCAGCCATCTGGAGAATCTGACAAAGAAAACAAAGTACAGGAACGTCCCCCAAGTGCATCTTCCAGTAGTGACATGTCTCTCTCAGAACCTCCACAGCCTCTTGCAAGGTAAAAGGGGAAGAATGAAAGATGATTAAGGTTCTTTCTTTTTATGAAATTTATTGGAGTGGTCTATGTTCAGTGAATTTTGTTGACTGACTTTGTGAACAAGAGGGCAGAGAGGTTTATTTAGAAATTGGTTCATATCTTCTGATGGATATTTAAGCATAGTGCACATCTGTACTTACTGTATGCCCTAGGCTAATTGTTCAAATTTTACCTGCCCTTTAATGTAAATGTCAGTTTCTTTTACAGTTGGAAGCATTCTTGCCTTCTGTGAACTAAACAATGAAAGTGTGTGGAATGAATGAATGACAGTGAAATTTTAAGGTGTTTGTGGCTAATAATTTTCAAAAGGGATTTCGGTATCCACTGCTATTTAAAATTTCTTCTTATGTCTAAGAACAATTTATCCATCCTACTTTCAAGAGCTATCTTTGGATATGCTTGTGAACATATTAATAAGGACTAGGAAGGGATCTGATTTGATTTCAGATAGTCAACAGACTATTTTACCTTAAATTTTCTTAAGAAATATTTTTTTGTTGTAATATATTGTTTGCAATAAAGTAAACAAAAAAACTATGTGAACTTGGAAGTAAAGGTGATGTTTAGATTACATGGTTATAAATTATACTTTGTAATAATAACCATTTTGGAAAGGGAAAGATTTGTAAACTCTTTGAGAATGCATAAATAGAAATCAAAATCACTATCCAATTTTGGGTTAATACACATGGTTCTTTTTTTGGGGTGGGTGGAAGGGTGGGGATGACAGGGTTTCCAACTCTGTCGGCCAGACTAGAGTGTAGTGGCACAATCTTGGTTCACTGCAACCTCCGCCTCCCAGGCTCAAGCGATTCTCCTGCCCCAACCTCCCGAGCAGCTGGGATTACAGGCATGCGCCACTACTGCCTGGCTAATTTTTGTTTTTTTAGTAGAGACTGGGTTTCACCATATTGGCCAGGCTGGTCTTGAACTGCTGACCTCAAGTGATCTACCGCCTTAGCTTCCCAAAGTGCTGGGATTACAGGCGTGAGCCGCCGTGCCCAGCCCATGTGATCCTTTTCTTTTTCTTTAAAAAAACAATTTTTCTTTTTTCCTTGATGCTCTGAATCAGCAGATCCTTTTTTTAGTGTTTCTTAGGTTCCAGGCAATGATCTAAGTACTCTGCATATATTATCTTATTTAATCCTTGTAATTCCTCGAGTTAGGCACTGTTATTCCTGTTTTACAGAAGAGGTAATTGAGGCCTGGAGAGTTTTCTAAAGGTTAAAGCATTAATGATAGAGATAGGCTTTAATTTAACCAGTCTGACTCTAGAAGCCTGTGCTTTAACTACTCTACATACTACTTCCCAAAAGTGAAATGTTTCATATGATTTGCTTAAGATTCTAAATATATTTAAAACTTTGTATAAATAAACTTAAAATTTTTGTTTTGAGTTTGAATGCTTTTAGTTATTTATTTACTTATTTTTCTAAGTGTCATCTCTGGAGAGGATTGAATGCTTTTAAATAGGTGATACTCTGTAGTTCATCTCATTCGCATTATTGTTGTCAGACGTTCCCCCATATTAATGTCTCAATTTTTACCTTTCTCTGAATTTTCTTCTAATTCTAAACAAGTTATCCAATATTAAAAGCAAACCAAACACAAACAAATCTAGTATTAGACCACATACTACCATGTACCAGTTCCTCACTTTTCTTTTAATATCAAACTTCTTTGACTTGTGATGTCTAACTTACTGTGTCCGCTTTCTTGCTACCCAATTCCTGAGCTTCCCCATTCCTGTTAATAGTTGTAGCATAACTATGTTTAAAGCTTGTTACTTTTTGCTTAACATTTTGGCATTTCTTTTCCTTGCACTTCATATCCTATTATTCTGTGTTAGCTACCTGGAAAACTCCAGATTACATATCTGACCTTGAAAACTGAAGATCCAGCTCAACAATCACTTTCCTTGGCTAGCAGAGTTAATTGCTTCCTGATCTATACTCTACTGAACTTTTAAAATCTTTGTTTTAGCATTTGTGGTGTCTTATTTTAGCTGTTTATTAGTCTTTCATCCCTGCTAGATCTTGAGATCCTAAAGTGTAAGGCTTATACCTTTTTAATTTTTTTTAATTTGGAGACAGGGTCTTGCTTTTTCACACAGGCTGGAGTGCAGTGGCATGCTCACAGCTCACTGCAGCCTCAACCTCTTGAGCTCAAGTGATCTTCCCACCTCAGCCTCCCAAGAAGCTGGGACTCTAGGCATGCACTGTCACACCTGGTTAATTTTTATTTTATTTTTTATATTTTTGGAGATGAGGGGCTTGCTTTGTTGCCCAGGCTGGTCTTGAACTTCTGGACTCAAGTGATTCTTCTGCCTCAGCCTTCCAAGTAGCTTAGGATTACAGGTGTGAGCTACTACTCCCAGCTCAGGATTAAATGATTAAGTATATTCATTTTTGTCTCCTGTTTCTCTACCATCAAAATAGCACTGGGTGTAAAATTGGCATTCTAAATACTTGAATTTAAAGCTCTTGGATTTTTTATTCATCAGTGTCTTTTATACTGTAACTTCTTTTGTATTTCCTTTACTACCAGCTTAGTTTAGGCCCCAGCAACCTCACACTTTGCATTTGTAACAGGCTATATTCTAAGGCATAGAATCTGTGCAGTAGTCTTTCTTCCTTCATTCTATTGACATGCTTTTCAACTTCTTACCCTGGCTACCGTCTTTCAGATGACTTCTTTTAACCCAATTGCAGAATTTTACATTTACCCATATTAGACTGGTTTAAGATTGAAGCCTATAAATATAATATTGCATCATAATTTGGCCATTTGTTGGGTCAGCTATGCCTCCCAGCTTTCTGTCATCTGCAAGTTTGATAAGCATATCTTTATGTCATCATCTAAAAATAATGGGCAAGACCAAGGACAAAGCCTCATGTTGTTCTTTCCCCACTTTTTTTTTTTTTGAGACAGTCTTGCTGTGTTGCCCAGATGGAGTGTGGTGGCATTATCTTGGCTCACTGCAAGCTCCACCTCTCAGCCTCCCAAGTAGCTGGAACTACAGGTGTGTGCCACCATGCCCAGCTAGTTTTTTTTTATTTGTAGTAGAGATGGGGTTTTGCCATGTTGCCCAGGCTGATCTTAACTCTTGGTCTCAAGTCATCACCTGCCTCAGCCTCCCAAAGTGCTGGGATTACAGGCATCAGCCACTGTTCCTGGCCTGTTCCTCTAAGGGTCTTCTTAATAGTTGACACCATCCTATAGTCTCTCTGTAGTATCCCTTAATATAGAAGAAATCCGTGGTCTGGAAATATAGGCAAATGTACCTAATGTTGTCTAGGACATCTTTATTCTGTTTCTAGACTTAATGGATACCCTACCCTGTATATTTATGTTTATAGTTGTATATTTGTATTGTATATAGTTGTATATTTATATTGTATAGTTGGTATTCATAGTTTTGCATTTAATTGTTTCACATTAATTTTTTACAAGGATCTCCTTATTTAGCATGTATATTGTTAAATACAAGTGTTCAGCATAAAGTAAATATTTGTTGATTAGAATGCATTGATATTTAGCAGCGTTAAGCATTTCTCTTTTATGTAATGTTATTTTAAAAATTATTTATAACTTTATAAATGCTAAGGGATTTTGTTTATAGAATTTTAAAGATCTTATTGCCTTAAATTATAGAATTTTAAAGATCTTATTGCCTTCTTAATAGTTTTTAAAAAAAAAACAGCATTTTTTTTGTTTTTATTTTCTGAAAAATATAGCATCTTAGTTGAAAAAAGCAGTTGGCAAAACAGTATAGATGGTAAAATCACATTTTTTTTTTGTACAAACAATACCACGAAAACAATGTACACATAGAAAAATGTTTGGAAGGATGTAATTCTAAATGAAATATTACCAGCGGCTCTTTTTTTAATTGTTTTGCTGAGTGAGCTTTATCTTTTTCATACTTTTTATCTGTTATTTTTTTGTTGCAGTGCATACTCATTACTCATAAATTAGACAAAAACAAAACTTTTTAGAAATGCTGGTTTGATTAACTAACATATTGTGACTTTAATTTCCAGAAAAGACTTGATGGAACCTACATGGATGCAGCCTGACAGATTGAGCCCTCAAGTTCACCATTCTCAACCACAGCCTTTTGCTGGAACAGCTGGAAGTTTACTCTCCCATCTCTTGAGTCTAGAGCATGTAGGAATTTTGCCTAAGGATTTGGAATCTATTTTACCAACCAGGAAGAATCATAATGTGGCTTCAAGGCCATTAACTTTTACACCTCAACCATATGTGACCTCACCAGCTGCCCATACAGATGCCTTGTTAAAACCTAGTGCCAGCCAATATAAGAGTAAACTGGATCGTATTGAAGCCTTGAAAGCAACAGCTGCTTCTTTGTCCAGCAGAATTGAAAGTGAAGCCAAGAAATTAGCAGGGGCCAACATTAACTATGGGTCAACATGGAACACTGAGTATGATGTGCAGCAAGCACCCCAGGAAGATAGACCCTGGACCAAGGCTATAAGTCCGCCTGTGAAAGATGATACTGAAGATGTTTTCTCTGCCCGCATTCAGAAGATGCTGGGTACCTGTGTATCTCATGCAACTTTTGATGATGATCTTCCTGGTGTAGGCAATCTTAGTGAATTTAAAAAGCTTCCTGAGATGATAAGACCTCAGAGTGCCATATCAAGCTTCAGAATGAGATCCCCTGGTCCCAAATCAGAAGGGCTGCTGGCACAGTTGTGTAAAAGGCAGACTGACTCTTCTAGCTCTGAAATGCAAGCCTGTTCTCAAGACAAAGCCAAAATGTCTCTTGGTTCCAGCATAGATTCAGTCAGTGAAGGGCCTCTTATTAGTGAGGGGAGTCTCTCTGAAGAAGAGGGAGACCGGGATGGACAACCTCTTTTGAAAGTAGCAGAAATTTTAAAAGAAAAGGAATTTTGTGCTGGAGAAAGAAATAGTTGTGAACCCATCAAAGAGTTTCAGAAAGAAGCTGAAAAATTCTTGCCACTTTTTGGGCATGTAGGTGGTACACAAAGCAAAGGGCCATGGGAAGAATTGGCAAAGGGAAGTCCACATAGCGTCATTAATATTTTTACAAAATCCTATCAGTTATATGGAAAAGGTGAGAAAAATAAGTATAGCTTGTACTATTTGTAGATTAAGATAAATTATTTTATAATTTCTGTACAAGATATATACTTTAGTACACATTTTTCATTGAGTGGATAATGGAGACTTATTATTGTCCATATTAGTCATCTTCTAAATTTCCTGCAAGCCTCAAATAGAGTATTAGTAATTTTATCTTTAAATTTTCATTTTAAAATTGTTATTGTCATAAAATAATAGTTGACTGGTAGTTGTAGAAATTTTATCTACTTCAAAGAAATTCATAATGTTCAGGATTGGATATATATCAGGTATATACTACATTTTCTGTGACCATAGTTATGTACTTAAATAGAAACTATAGGCCGGGCGAGGTGGCTCACACTTGTCATTCCAGGACTTTGGGAGTCCTAGGCAGGCGGATCACTTGAGGTCAGGAGTTTGAGACCAGCCTGGCCAACATGGTAAAACCCCACCTCTACTAAAAAGACAAAAAAAAATTAGCTTGGTGTGGTTGCATGCACTTGTATTCCCAGCTACTCAGGAGGCTGAGACATGAGAGGCGGAGGTTGCAGTGAGCTGAGATCGTGCCACTGCACTCCAGCATGGGTGACAGAGCAAGATTCAGTCTCAAAAAAACAAAAAGAAACTAAGTATGTTTCTTAACACAGTGGTGATTTGTGAATTCTTGGGAATATGGCAGTCAGGAATTGAGAGGGATAACTAGCAGCATTTCTAATATGAAAACAACTCTATTAATGTTTAAAACTAATTTTAATAGCAATCCGACTTTGAGCAATACTGTATATTTGATTCCTAAAACAATAACTTCTAAAGTTCCCTTCTTATCCCTGAAATCCTGCAACATAGCTTTCATTTTCTATGATAGACTGACTCAATTCCTTCAAGTCCTTTTCTCTATCCTTCCTGCTGTGTATGGAATCTACCCATTTTATACTAACATTACCTTAGAATTTCCAGATTGGAGATTTCCCGTCTATAATAGCGAATGGATTTCATCTGTTCCTTTTATGCTCAACTGGGTATCACATTGCTTTTTCCTAGAATTCATATTTAGGTATTTCTTAATGGTCTTGTATAGACCTTCATGTGCTATTGCTTTCTCTTGGTTAGCCAAATTTCTATTAGTGGTCATTTTAAATTTCTTTTGATTCGAAAGTTGTATTTATTTCTTTTGATGAAATAAAGTGCTTCAGTCAACATATTTATTAATTCTGTTAAATTTTCATTAAGATTTTCTAGTTAAATATTTAGAGATGAAATGAGATTGAAATGTTATCTGGAATTTGCTTTAAAATAGACTGGGGGTTGGTAGATGAAGGTAGTAGGAGGTTTAATTGAAACTAGATTGGTGATGTAATTGTCATTGTCAAAGCTGTATGATGAATACTTTGGTTTCATTATGCTGGTCTCTTTTTCATGTATCTTTTAAAATGTTCATAATAAAAAGCTTAAATAAAGTACTGTTAGATATAAAGGTAAATAGAAAAGAAGCATTATTAAAGGGAACTAAAATACCCCTAAGCCCATATAGTTAATCTCCATGTATGGGATGCTTTTCTTACAGTTTTTTGATTTTCGTTTTCAACCATGCTTCAATTGTTACTTTTGTCAGGGTTTGAAGACAAGTTGGACCGAGGAACATCAACATCACGGCCTTTGAATGCCACCACAACTCCTCTAAGCAATGTCTCATATGAAGATGATTTTGTCTCTTCTCCGGGGAGTGGGACTTTGACAGAAAAAAAATCAACTCTTGAACCTCAGTAAGAATATATTGGCAATATGGAATAAACTCTGAAGAGTGAGAAAAATTTACAAATGAGAACTGTGGTCTGATATTAGCCAAGTTTTGCTTGTTTAAAGATACATGTAGAGGCTGTACATCATAGTGGCTATTAAGAGCATGGGCTCTGGATCCAGATAGCCTTTGTTTAAATCCAGGCTCTCCTGATTATTAGTTGTTTGTGTTTGTACACATTACTTAGCCCTCCTATGCCTCAGCTTCCTTCTCTGTAAAATGGGACATTAATAGTACCTGCCTGACTTGTAGAGTTGTTATGAGTATTAGATGAAATAGAGGGAGGCTGAGGCATGAAAATCACTTGAACCTGGGAGGCGGCAGTTGCAGTGAGCCGAGACTGCACCACTGTGCTCCAGCCTGGGTGACAAGGCTAGACACCATCTCAAAAAAAGGAAAAAAAATCATGTACTTTGAACAGGGCCTGGCACATAGTAAGCAAAATATAGGTTATTAAGTCAATCTTTGAATTCCTAGTAGAGCACTGGAGTACTGGGAAACTACTCCATGGTATAATAACATAAAAAGCTTAAGAAATGGTTTTCTGTGATAGAATTGAGGAAGATCAGATAGATATATGCCTCCATGGTTCCAAGTAATAAGTAATGTTTTTATAATCAAGAAAATATCTAAAATTTTGCAAAGCTTTGAAAACAATAATTATACTGATTATAATATCTAATAATTACTGAGCACTTATTGTGTAAGACACTGAAAAGACCGAGGGACTTTACCTATATTAACTCATTTTTATAATAGTCTGATGTGGAAAGCATTTTGTTATCATTTCTATTTTAGAGAGCAAACTGAAGCAGAGGTTAAATTACTTGTACATAGTTACATAGTAAGTGTATGTAAATTCTCTCCAGACTTTGCTGGAGAGAATCTGTCTCTATATTTTGTTACCATTTAAATTTATCTGTAATTATTCATGTTCAATATCATCTTTTTCAAACATCACAAATTGTAATTGATGTAAAATTATTAGGTAATCTTATAAAAATCGGTTAAATTTAATTAGATTAATAGGAATAGGTATGAAAATTATATGAGAAAAAGCATAGTTTTAAGTTTTGAGCTCTAAGGAAAATATTAAATTTTTAAATAAAAACTTCCAAGGATTTAATTATGGCGACATTTAATATATCACCAATCAATATGATTTGATGCATTTTCTTTCCAGGAAAGAACAGATTATTGTTGTCTGTAAGATTATAAGAGGGGAAATAGTTATAATATATAAATTATAAATTTGAATAGAAATTGAGGCCATGTTTTCCAATATTCAACATTATATATTTTTCTCTAAATATAAGTTTTTATTGGTTTCACTTACCTGAGATTTTTCTTAGTAATAAACTGAACCATAGGGCAATCCAGGCTTACAGTGGTTAAAAAAGAAGTAAAGTGGAAGCCATCTTTGATTGTAGTTCTGTTCTACTAGTGATTAAACAGATTTTTAAATATCTTTAATTTATCTGTGTTGTAAGACTTTTCTTTTTAGAACTACTATTATTTATTCTTTAACAGTAGCCCTTTAGGCCCTCAGGAGGACCATTCTAACAGAAAGTCTGCCTGTGATCCTTCCTCTGTGGACGTTACCTCCCAGCATTCATCAGGAGCCCAGTCTACTGCATCATCTCGTTCATCTACTTCTTCTAAAGGAAAGAAAGGAAAAAAGGAAAAGACACAATGTAAGTGGAATTCCACATAGTAACTTTTTCTTTTATCAATGATTTTATAGTAGTAATCTAAAGTTATGCTTTGTTCCCATAAGAAGTTAGAGGAATTTCTTATGGTAATGTAATTAGCTTTCATATTTATCATTATAATAATACCTTTTGATGTATAACATTATGAGTGTTTTCCTTAATACAAAAGGAATACATTTGCAATGATAAGGAATTAAAAATTAGAGATAAACACTTTTCAAAGAAAGACAAATTTCCTTTGATCGATCCTTCAGAGATTAACTACTATTAACGTTTTTGACATATACATAAAATTACACACACACACACACACACACACACACACACACACAACTTTATTTTAAAAATACATGTAAATAATAATTGCTTTGCAATTGGTTTTTTTAAAAAAAACTTAATAGTGTATATCATAGTATCAGAGATACTGACATATATATATATACATATGCAGAGATATTCTGATACATTAAGTAACAGAATGCTATTCTGATTTTGCTTGTTTTTATGTTTGTTTTTTGAGATAGGGTTTCCCTCTGTCACCCAGGCTGGAGTACAGTGGTGTGATCACAGCTTATGGCTCACCACAGCCTCAACATCCTGGGCTCCATTGGTCCTTCCACCTCAGCCTCCCAAGTAGCTGGGACTACAGGCACACACCACCCTATCTGGCTAATTTTTCTGTTTCTTGTAGAGATGGGCTTTTGCCATGTTATCCAGGCTGGTTTTAAACTCCTGGGCTCAAGCATTCCACCTGTTTTAGCCGCCCAGAGTGCTGAGATTATAAGCATGAACCACCGCACCTGGCTTGTTATTTGAATATATTATAATTTATTTAATTATTTCCCCATTGCTGGATATTTAGGTTATTTTCTTTTTTCTTTATTCCATTGTAAGTACTATTGCATTGAATATCCTTGTAAAGACATTTTTATGCATTAGTCTGGTTTTTTCCTCTAGGGAAAAATTCTAGAGGTGAGATAATGGAACAAATAATATGCCATGTTTAAAATTTGGTATATGTGCTGCCGAAGCGAGCACAATGTTTAAAATTTGGGTACATTTTACCAAATAGCTTTTAAGAAAGTTAGTGCCAGTTTATAGTTCCAATGAGAGTGATAGGAGATATTATTTTTTAATCATTAACCTAATAAAATTTTTGCAATTTGGAAGTGTTCTGAAAGTCTTTGTAGGATGTTTAGACATCATTTTACCAGCTCTTCCTAAACTCTGCATTTTCTTGTGAAAAACAAGTTCAGTGGTATAGACTGTTTCATAAGTGTTCTGAGAATAAAAGAGCTCCATGGTTCCATAAATTTGGAAAATTCTTTTACAATGAAACAAGATTCTTTCCTGTTGAAGACTCAACACTTCAATATGCTAGTGCATTACTTATTTTAGGATAAGGATGAGGCTGTAGTATGAAGCATTGTCCAAGTGTTACTTTGACTAGAGAATCATCAGTCACCGTTTTATGGCATTAGAATTCAGCTGAACACAGTTTAGGAAATCCTGATCTTGCTCAGTTCTTTTATTTTGCAATTGTTAGGGTTTACTAAGTTAGTGTCTCACCTAAGGTCACTAACTTGTTATTGGCAAAGCCTAGATTCTGATTTCTGACTCCCAAATCCAGTCTATCTTCTGCTATGATATACTGCACTATTTTAAAATTTCATAATATAGACTGGGCATGGTATCTCACTCCTATAATCCCAGCATTTTGTGAGACTTAGGTGGGTGGATCATTTGATCCAGGACTTCAGACTCCTGAGGTTCAAGACTAGCCTGGGCAACATGGCGAAACCCTGTCTTTACAAAAAAATAGAAAAATTATCCAGGCATGGTGGCGCAGACCTGTAGCCCCAGCTACTAGAGAGGCTGAAGTGGAAGGATCAGTTGAGCCCCTGAAGTTGAGGCTGCAGTGAGCCATGATCATGCCACTGCATTCCCAGCCTGGGCAACAGAGCAAGACCTGTCTTAAAAAAAGAAAAAACCATGATATATTGAGTATATATGTATTAACAATATGATTTAATGTAGGTTTAAAAAATTATCATCGAAAACAGGTTAGATGAAGTATAGGTAGCATTTTGTGGCTTTCAGTTTCCCTAGTCCTCACCTACAATACCAGAAAAACCCTGATGGATTTCACTTTCCACAGCATCCTTAGTTTTTTGTTCATCCCCAAGTTCTAAAATCAGTGATTTTTATTGTATATACTCCATCTGGTGGTGAAAAAGAGTGTCTGCATGCTCTGTACAAAAATTTACCCAGTGTAGTTGAAAGTAGTTGGTAGATCAAATGGTAATCCTAAGAAAAAATTTTTGCTTTAAGACATGGAATATGGCTTTACTTGGCAATCTTTCAATGTGGGGGCATTTTCTTTCTATATGAGTCCCTTGATTGGAATATAGGTCTTTCTTGCACAGAACATTGTGTTGTCTATAATTTCTAGTTGTTTAAAGTCAAGAAAAAAATTTAAATTGTGTATTTGTTATAAACAATATTAAATAAAGTGTTCTTATTATGAAAGCAGTGCAGCTTTATTGTAGAAAAATTAGTGATAATCAGTATTAACAGCTTGCTTGGTATCCTAAATAGACTTTGTAGAGTCCTTTCTAATTGATTAATAATATTCTGTTTTAAGCCTACACTTCAGTTGCATTAAGCACATATACGCTGTCGTACAACCATCCCCACCAGGCAGCTCCAGAACTTTCTCATCTTTCCATACTGAAGCTCTGTATTCATTCAACATTCCTCCCTTCAGTCCCTGGCAACCACCATTCTGACTTTCTTTGTCTATTGATTTCACCAGGGAATTTAACCATTTTCAAGTGTACAGATCATTAGCATTAAGTACATTCACATTGTTTTGTCATCCTGACCACTATTTCCAGAACATTTTCATCATCTCAAATTGCAGCACTATACCCATTCAATAATAACTTTCATTCTCTTCTCCCAGTGCCTACTAACGACTGTTGTACTTTCTCTCTATGAATTTGCCTATTCTAGCTATGTCATATAAGTGGAATCGTGTTTGTCCTTTTGTGGCTGGCTATTTCACTTAATGTCTTCAAGGTTCATGTATGCTGTAGCATGTGTCAGAATGTTCTTCCTTTTAAGTCTGAATAATTTTCCCTTGTATGTATGTATATACAGCTAGTGCTCGACTTACGACCACGATTGGTTCCAACAGACCGGTCGTAACACGATTTGGTCGTAAGTTGAGTAGGCTGTATGCACGCGGAGATGGTAGTGCTGCCGGAAGCTGGTCCGCACTGTCGTACGCCCAGCTGGGCAACGTTTGCGCTGCCAGACGCGGAGCAGTCATGGCTAGCGATTGTGGTCGTAAAGTCGAATGGTTGTAAATCGCATAGGTCGTAAGTCTATCAATACCTGTACCACATTTTGTTTATCTGTTCATCAGTTGTTGGACACTTGGGTTGCTTTCATCTTCTGGTTATTTTGAATAATACTGCTATGAGTACGAGTGTAAAGGGTAATTTTTTTCACTTTTGTATTTTATTTTGATCTTTAATCACATATATATCATTAAAATTAAAATTTTTTTGTATATGCATATTTTAAAATATAGTGATTTTTCTATAAATTTTTCCAAAAAATTTTAATGTATATATACACATTTGTGTGTATGTATTTATATGTGTATATATATAAAATGTATATTTTATATTTAAAATTTTCTTGGCCACCATTAAAATTTATATGCAGTTTTGTAATCTGCTTTTTAAAAAAGGTAATAATAAATATTTTCCCGTGCTGCTGTTTAAACATATAATCAAGATGAATAGTGTATTAGACTAGAGTCAGGAGGTCTGGGTATATGTCCTATTTCTGCTGTTACCAGAACAGAATGCTCTTGTTAAGCGAGTTATTAAGCCCCGTAGATCTCTAGTTATCTCATCAGTAAATTGGGGACATAGTACTTATTTCACAAGACGTTTAAGAGCAATAAGGTACTATATATGAAGTGCATTTTAATTACAATGTTCTATATAAATGTTCAGGTTACTGTTAGCTGTGTAATTTAGACAGCTATTCTCTTGTTAGAAATGTAGATTAAATTTCTTTAAGTTGCAAAGTTACACATTGATAACATGAATAATTTTTGTTTCGGTCATCTCCTTAAGATATATTTCTATGAGTAAAATTTTTATTCAGTCAGAGAATATGAATATATTTATAAATCAGGCTACATAGTTTTTACCATAGAGTTTTTCAGAAGAATTATGTAGTTCAGTTAGCAGTTCGTACCATTTTTCTTTCAGCTCTAGATTTTATCCTTAAAAAACTTATTTTTGGTTACTTTTTCATAGGGATAGATTAGTACTTTATTGTTATTTAATATACTTGTCTTTTATTACCAGTTGAGCTAAGCATGATTTGTTAATAGCAAGTGGAATTAATGGAAGAAACTTCACTTTCCTTAAATGGAGACAGAAGGATGAACTGCTTTATTTTAGATATGGAAAACAGATTTCGAATACAGTATAGGTCAATTTTCAAATATCTGGTTTATACTTATTTTATTAAAATCTATATATCAGTTATTCTCTCAATAACTTCTAGTATTGGAAATCAGCTTTATAAGAAATTTATTTTACAGGGTTGGATTCATTCACTGGAAATGTCCAGAACTCACCTCTTGATGAGGAAAAAGTGCAGTCCAGCTCAGAACGTGGCTCCCATCAAGGAAAGAAATCTGGAACCAGTAGCAAACTTTCTGTTAAAGATTTTGAACCAACTCTTGATACAGATAGCACTTTGGAGGATCTTTCTGGACATTCTGTGAGGTAAAGTAATGTATACTTTATACTGTAATTTGTATATAAAGTTATAATATCATTTTTTAAAATCCATATGATGAATTTTAGCTCAGCAGTCTCCTTAACTGTGTATATTTGAGCTACTACACAATTCTGTACTTGACAAATAGACTTCATAGCTTTGTTCTGTATTTTAGAATACGATCATGTATCGTCTAGACTGATAACACCTCTTTCTCAGGAATTCTCTCCCTCTACACAACCCAATTTTCTGTGTTGAATGCTGCTGTTACAGTTGTTTTCTTGGCTCAATCTTTTGACTAAGCAGCTACCCTGCATAGGGTGCTTTGCAAGGTCATGGTTGCCCCTTAGATGAATTCTAAGTGCCTAACTCTACTTGAAGTGTTTTCACTGGGCTACCACAAATTGTCTCATTTCTTTTGTATATAAATTTTGATTGTCATCTATTCATTCTTTCAACACAACTACTTAGCATCCTTTTTGTCTTATTGCTTATTTCTTCCTCTGAACTTCTCTGCTCAACTTACTAGACCACTCAAACAGATTTTGAAATCTGACTCTGATATTGATTATGGGACTTGCATACTGTGTTTTTCTCTTTACTTTCTAGTATCATAATACTATGCACTTAGTCTGTTGCCTACAAATAACCTTAAGTTATTGCTAGCTATACGGTTCCTACTCATTTGTCCATGTGACTTTTCATCTGTGCACTGGTTTTGTCTTGGAAATTGAGGCTCTGAGAAGACAGGGATTTATTTTTTTTGTTTTAAAGTAACTTTGTGCTTTTCTTTTCTTTTTTTCTTTTTTTTGAGATGGAGTCTCACTCTTTTGCCCAGGCTGGAGTGCAGTGGGCCGATCTTGGCCCTACCTCTGCCTCCCAGGTTCAAGCGATTCTCCTGTCTCAGCCTCTTGAGTAGCTGGGATTACGGGCGGCTGTCACCATGCCTGGCTAATTTTTTGTGTTTTTAGTAGAGATAGGGTTTCATCATGTTGCTCAGGCTGGTCTCAAACTCCTGACCTCACGATCCGCCTGCCTCGGCCTCCCAAAGTGCTGGGATTACAGGTGTGAGCCACTGCGCCCAGCAACTTTGTGCTTTTTCTAGTACTGTGAAAAATAAAGATAACCATTTTTAGTGCTTTCATGTTACAAATAATATTGCATCATTAATACCATCATTTCTATATTTAAAACTGAATTTTATTTTCTTTGTCAGTGATGTTGGAATTTAGAAAACTTTATCTTAAGAGTTACTCTGATGATTTAACTTGACAAAATTTACAAAGTTAAGCATTTCTTAAATAGGATCCATAGCCAAATAAATTTCATAAATGCTTTATACTACAATCTAGATTCTCCTTTCCCCACCCATTGAGATTCACAGTGGATAAAATAATTTGAGGCTTTGATAAGAAGGAGTCCAGAATTTTTCAGAAATTGTTTAATCTCTCTCTCTCTTTTTTAAAATTTATTTGGCTGTGGTCACTCTTTGTCCCCAAGCTCGCGCTCGCGGGCGCGCTCTCTCTCTCTCTCTCTCTCCTCCTCTCTCTCTCTTTCTTTCTTGGAACACTTATTGACATGATTAGAAATATACTTTTAGAAATGCTAGTCTAGCTAAATTTACTCTGCAAAGCAAATATAAATTCATCTTACAAAACCATAAAGTGAGGTGCAGAGTACTTGTTTGTTGTTGTGTTTTCATTATTTAATGGAAATCTCTTAAAATGATAATTCTTTTTGTGTTTTATACATGAAATAGACGTTAGAAATAGTATGTATCTAAAGTATCAATAGAAAACTAAAGGCCGAATAAACACGTGGGTGCCTCTCAGGACTACTTTTATTCAAATATTTTTATACTGGGTTTGAGAGAAACTTTTACCTTTGAAAGCTATTTCATTATTTTATTAGAAGCTGAAAGCAAAATTGTTTCAGTATATTGGAAATATAACTGTGCTGAAATGCTTTTTATAATGCATTGTTGAATAATTTATTCAGTAAATAAATATTCAGTGCAAGGCAGCATGCTTGATGTTATGAGAAATAATACGTTTAATGAGCTTACTTTTTCAAAGAAAGGTTAGAAACATGCCTTGTATTGAATTAAATGCCTTAAGAGTTGTTACAAACTGTTATGAGATGCTACTGATTAGAAAGTTCAGGGAAGAGATGTAGTATTAAAAAGTAGATATAAAGAAATGAAATATATTAAGTATGTAGAGATGGAGAGTGTGAAAATTTTTTCTCAGACTCTTAGATTAACGAGGGTATAACAAAAGAATCGTTTTTGTCTTTTCTTACCTTTTAATATAAAATATTGTCTTTCTGAGATGTATTTCAATACTCATGTATGGCTGCAATTTTATTGCTGTATATTATCTATTTTAGAAGACTGCTTCATGCTATAATGAGTGAATGATAATAGTTTGTACACTGTAGAGGGAAGAGTTGAGTGCTAGTTTAATCAAGCTGCTCCCTTTCTATTGTACTTAGGGCAGGGTTTGTGCCTTGCTTGTTCACCACTGTAAATCTAGCAATTAGAGGAATATTCGTAGTCATTTATTTAGCATGGTGACTGTATTAATGAATAAATGCCTAAATCACAACTTTTTAAAGTTAATGTTGATAAAGTTCTTTTATATATTGTTCTTTTGAATTATTTAGCTGGTTTACAAAGTACTTTTCCTTTCTCTAATGTTTTTATGGATCAAAACTTCCAGTGTCTCATCAGATAAGGGAAGATCTCAGAAAACTCCAACTTCTCCCCTGTCACCAAGTTCCCAAAAATCATTGCAGTTTGACCTTCCAGGAACTTCTTCAGAAAGACCTAAGTCCTCAGTAATGCCTCCAACTATAACAGGATTTAAGCCCAATGCAGCTTTCGCTGATTTGAATTTGGCTGCCAGCAGAACGACGACAGAAAACCTGGCTCCACCAGGTAAGTAGATCCATGCAATTGTAATTTTTAGAATAAGATATGAAATTTTTTCTCTGAAAATTCCTTTTCTTTCGGTTGAGTCAGAGAGAAATATTATTTCAAGTGAATGTGATTACTTTTCAAGTATTGAAAACTGTAAGAAATTAAATATTAAAAAGCGTGAGATTTAGCAGCATTACCTATGAAATAAAAAAAGAATAATAACAAAAAAAAGCGTGAGAGACTCAGCAATGTTGATCTTTTTCCCCATCTTGCCAGCATCAGTCATAACATGTCTGACAAATATGTCCCATATATGCACACCTGTTTATATGTATATGTATGTGTGTATACATACACACACGTGCATTTGCACACATAGAAGTAAAGTACATTGTACCTGCCTACCTTGTTTTATTGTGCTTGGCTTTATTGCGTTTCGCAACTACTGCAGGTTTTTTTTGTTTGTTTTACAAATTAAAGGTTCATGGCGTTGAACAAGTTCATCAGTGCCATTTTTCCAACAGCATGTGCTCACTTCATATCCCTGTGTTCACATTTTGACAAATCTTTCAATATTTCAAGATTTTCATTATTACTATGTCTGTTACGGTGATCTGTGATTAGTGATCTTTGATGTTCGTGTTCTATCAGTAATTGTTTTGGGTGCCACCAACTGTGTCCGTTTAAGAGGGCAAACTTAATAGATCAATGTGTGTGTTCTGACTGCTCCACCAATTCACTGTTCCCCTCTGCCACTCTCCCTCTGGTCTCCCTATTCCCTGAGACACGATGATATTGAAATTAGACCAGTTACTAACCCTACAATGATCTCTAAGTGTTCACGTGAAAGGAAGAGTCACTGCTGGGCACGGTGGCTCATGCCTGTAATCACAGTACTTTGGGAGGCTGAGGTGGGTGGATCACAAGGTCAGGAGATCAAGACCAGACTGGCCACTATGGTGAAACCTTTTCTCTTCTAAAAATACAAAAACATTAGCTGGGCATGGTGATGGGCACCTGTAATCCCAGCTACTTGGGAGGCTGAGGCAAAGAATTGCTTAAACCTGGGAGGCAGAGGTTGTAGTGAGCCGAGATCATGCACTGCCCTCCAGCCTGGGCATCAGAGCGAGACTCCATCCCAATAAAAAAAAAAAGAAGAAGAAAGGAAGAGTTACATCTCTCACTTTAAATCAGAAGCTACAAATGAACAAATGATTAAGCTTAGTGAAGAAGATGTCAAAAGCCAAGAAACGCCAAAAGCTAGGCCTCTTGTGCCAGTTGGCCAAGTTGTGAATGCAAACGAAAAGTTTTTGAAGGAAATGAAAGGTTTATCACATGAATGATAGATTAGAAAACAAAATAGCCTTATTGCTGATATGGAGAAAATTTTAGGGAATTAGATAGAAGATCAAGCCAGTGGCAACCTAAAGCCAAAGCTTAATCCAGAGCAAGACCCTAATTCTCTTCAATTCTGTATAGCCTGAGAGAGGTGAGGAAGCTGCAGAAGAAAAATTGGAAGGTAGCAGAGGTTAAAGAAAGAAGCCATCTCCCATAAAATAAAAGTGCAAGGTGAAGCAACAAGTGCTGATGTAGAAGTTGCAGCAAGTTATCCAGAAGATAATTGATGAAAGTGGCTACACTGAACAAAGTTTTAATGCAGATGAAACAGCCTTATGTTCCAAGAAAATGTCATCTAGGACTTTCATAGTAGCTAGAGAGAAGTCATGGTGTGGCTTCAAAGCATGAGCTGACTCTAATTAGGGGTTAATACAGCTGATGAGCTAAAGTTTGAAGAAAAGATTTAGAATATTATATAAATTTAATTGATAAAGCAGTAGCAGGGTTTGAGAGCACTGTCTCCAGTTTTGAAAGAGGTACTGCAGAAAGTGGGTCAGATGCTACCAAACAGCATCACATGCTCCAGAGAAATCTTTTATGAAAGCAAGAGTCAATCCATGCAGTGAAGTTCATTGTTGTCTTAAGTTGCCACAGTTGGTTGGGCGCAGTGGCTCACGCCTGTAATCCCCAGCACACTGGGAGGCTGAGGCAGGCAGATCACGAGGTCAGGAGTTTGAGACCAGCCTGACCAACGTGATGAAACCTCATCTCTACTAAAAATGCAAAAAAATTAGCTGGGCATGGTGGTGCATGCCTGTAATCCCAGCTACTTAGGAGGCTAACGCAGGAGAATTGCTTGAACCCAGGAGGTAGAGGTTGCAGTGAGCTGAGATCGCACCACTGCTGCACTCCAGCCTGGTGACAGGCTATCTCAAAAAAACAACAACAACAACAAAAAAACAGTTGCCACAAACACTCCAGCCTTTAGCAATTACCCTGATCAGTCAGTAGCTATCCACATTGAGATAAGACCTTCCACCAGCAAAAAGATTAGGACTTTGCATTTTTTAGCAATACAGTATCTTTAAATTAAAGTGTGTGTGTGTGTGTGTGTGTGTCTGTGTGTGTGCGTGTGTGTGTGTGTTTGTTTTTGTTTTTTGTGTGTGACAAAGCATTTCTCTTGCCTCAGTCTTCCAGGTAGCTGGGACTATAGGCGGGTGCCACCACGCCCAGCTAATTTTAGTATTTTTAGTAGAGACAGGGCTTCACCATGTTGGCCAGGATGGACTCGATCTCTTGACCTCATGATCTGCCTGCCTCAGCCTCCCAAAGTGCTGGGATTACAGGTGTGAGCCACTGCGCCCAGCCCAGTATGTACATGTTTTTTAGACATAATGCTATTGCACACTTACTAGACCTCAGTATAGTGCAAATATAACTCTCATATGCACTGTGAAACCAAAAAATTTGTGACCTACTTTATATATTTATTCCTTCAGACTGGAACTGAACCTGCAGTATCTCCGAGATATTCCTGTATTAAGTCCCAGTTTTTCCTACAAAGGAAAGCAAACTTGATTTTGGCTCTTAGAATGACAGATTTTAGAAATCTGAGGTGTAATTTCATGTTAATTTTTTCATTTGACCATTGTCATGCCCTGCAGGTTCTAAGCGCTTTTCTCCTGCTGGCCTCCATCATCGCATGGCAGCAGAACTCAGTTATCTGAACGCCATTGAGGAATCCGTGCGCCAACTGTCAGATGTAGAAAGAGTTAGAGGCATTTCACTTGCTCAGCAGGAGAGTGTGTCTCTAGCTCAGATCATAAAGGTATTTAATTTAGAGTTTTCTTTTTTAGCTTTCTGTGGTTTTTCTTCTTTCTTCGCTATTTATAATAGTTTTAATGATGACTTAAACTACTGTGCCAAGTAGAAAAAAACAGTCTGCCATATAGCACCTATAAATAAATAGTCCTGGGAAAACTATCAGGATACTAAAAAGATACAGTGTTTGGCAGCCTAACAATAATAAAATCATGCTCTCTCAAATACTTTGTTTTCCATGTTTTCTGCTTTAATTGATAGTATAAAAATCATCTTGTCAAATATTCTTTATATTTTCTCTTTTCATTGATAAATATTGAGGGTTTTTTGTTTTTTTTTTTTTTTAAAGCTTTATTTATACCAAAAAGAAAAGTTTCTGAGATCCAGGTGTTTGATAAAGCCAGGATAATGTGGATTTTTCCTTAGCAAACAAAAATCTAGAGATGGTCTGAGCACTATTCCTTAGTGTAGATGCTTTAAAAAACAGAACCCTGAGGTATTACTTACATAGTATAAAATACACAGATTTGAAGTGTAGAGTTTTGATGAGTTTTAACCAGTGTATTTACCTGTGTAAGAACCACCCTAATCAAGGTATAGAACCGTTACGTTATTACCCCAGAAAGTTGACTCATGCCCATTTTCAGTTAATCCCCCTTCCCAAAGGCAATTAGTGTTCTGATTTCTGGCACCATAGTTTATTTTGGCCTGTTCTAGAACTTCGTATAAAATGAAGGGTCCTTTGAACTCTGTGTTTAACTTATTTTATTCAATATCAATTTAAGATATATCCATGTTGTTTTATCAGTTTTTTGTTTGTTTGTTTTTGCTGAGTAATATTCCATTAATAGTCACAGTTTGTTTATCAGTTTTCTTATTGATGTACATTTGGATTATTTCCAGCTTTTGGCTATTGTAAATATTCCTGCTATGAACATTTTAAAACAACTCTGTGTGTACTACATGTATTTTCATTTTTCTTGTGTAAGTACTTAGTAGTGGTGGAATTGCTTGGGGCAAGTATATGAAGCTTTATAAGAAACTGCCATACAGTTTTCCAAAGTGGTTGTAACATATTATGCTTCTGAAGTACATAGAATTCCAGTTGTCCGTATCTCTGCTATAATTTGATATTATTAATCTTTTATTTCAGTCATTCTATTGAGTGTGAAATAGTATCGCATTGTAGTTGTAATTTGCGTTTCTCTCATGACTGATGATACTGATTGTCTTTTTGTGTATTTATTGAGCATTCTTTTATCTTCTTTTGTGAATATCTGTTCAGCTCTTTTACTCCCTTCATGATGGGGTTGTCTTTTTAATTATTGATTTATAGGAGTTCTGGAAACAAGTTCTTTTCAGATGTATTGGAATTATTGTACTCCAGGCTTTGGCTTATCTTTTCACTTTTTAAACTGTGTCTTTTGAGGAATAGAAGTTTTAAATTTTGACCAAATCCAGTTTTTTGTTTCTTTCCTTTGTGGTAATACCTTTCGTTTTCTAAGAAATCTTTGAGCTGAACGTGGTGGCTCACACCTGTTATCCCAGGACTTTTTGGGAGACCAAGGCAGGCAGCTCACTTAAGCTCAGGAGTTCAAGGTCAGCCTGGGCAACATGGCGAAATCCTATCTCTGCTATAAATATACAAAACTAGCTGTCCACGGTGGTGTATGCCTGTAGTACCAGCTACATGGAGGGGCTAAGGCAGGAGAATCGCTTGAGTCTGGAAGGTGGAGGTTGCAGTAAGCCAAGATTGTGCCGTTGAACTCCAGAGTGAAACCCTGTCTCAAAAAAAGAAAGAAAGAAGGAAAGAAACCTTTGCCTACCCTAAGATACTAAGATATCCTAAGATTCTCTTATGTTTTTTCCCAAAAGCTTTATAATTTTAGCTTTCATGTTTAAGTGTGTAATCCTTCTCAAGTTAATTTTGGGATTTGACATGAGGAAGAGAGTCAAAGTTTATTTTTCCCTAATATATGGATATTCAGCTGTTCCAGGACCAGTTTATTAAAAAGACTTAAATTACCTTAGTGTGTTTATCAGTGATTAAGTAATCAATTATGTGTAGACCTATTTCTGGGCTCATTTTCCATTCATCTTTTCATTTATCCTTAATGTCAGTACCATATTGTTTTTATTACTCTGGCTTTTAGTGAGTCTTGAAATCAAGATACAATTCCTCAAAAGATGGTTTTGGCTATTCTCGGTTGTTTGCTTTTCCATGTAATTTTTAGAATCAGTTTGTCAATTTCTACCCTCCCCCCCCAAAAAAAAAAAGTCTGGAAGGATTTTGATTAGAATGCTATTAAATCTATAGATCAGTCAGCCTGGGGAGAATTCATATCTTAACAGTGTTGCCTTTTCTAATTCGTGAACATGATATATTTTTCTATTTAGATCTTCGAATATTTCTCTCATCAGTATTACAGTTTTCATTGTAGAGGTCTTACACATTTTAAAATGTATTCCTAAATGTTTTATGGTTTTTGATGCTAAATTTTTTTTTTTCAGTTTTATTTTCCATTTTTTCTTCCCAAAAAACCTGTCAGACAGTTCTTTGTGTGGGACTGTTCCCATACTTTGCAGAGAGCCCATCATTCCTGTCCCCCTCCCACCAAATAACAGTAGTGTTGTCCAGTCATTGTGGCAGCAGTAACTCCCTGGACAAATCCAGATGTCGCCTGGTAGAGGGTGGGGGAGGGACTAATGCCAACTTTGTTGAGAATCATTGTATTGAGGAAATGACCCCATTGTAGTGGAGGGCCATCCTGACCTTGAAGTCTGAGTCAGCCCTGAGGTTTTCTAACATTTTAGAAATACATTATAATTCAGGGTTTCTAGATTTGGGCAGAGCATTACCACAGCCTTACATACAAACTTACCACCATTTTTTGTCTACTTTTATTTTGTTTTAATTTAAAAAAAATAGAAATGAGGGTCTCACTATGTTGACCAGGCTGGTCTTGAACTCCTGGCCTCAAGCAGTCCTCTCATAGCCTCCCAAAGTGCTGGGATTACAGACATGAGCCACTGCACCCAGCCCTTACCACCTTTTGAAAACTTCTATTATTTAGCACTACTTCAAAGGAGATGAAAATATATATGTTTGTAGATAACATTGCATGGAATAGTGGTAAGAAGGGTCCTGGTGGCCCGGCGCGGTGGCTCATGCCTGTAATCCCAGCAGTTTGGGAGGCCGAGGCAGGTGGATCAGGAGGTCAAGATATCGAGACCATCCTGGCCAACATGGTGAAACCCTCGTCTCTACTAAAAAAAATACAAAAATTAGCTGGACTTGGTGGTATGCGCCTGTAGTCCCAGCTACTCTGGAGGCTGAGGCAGGAGAATTGCTTGAACCCAGGAGGCTGAGATTGCACCACTGTACTCCAGCCTGGCAACAGAGCAAGGCTCTGTCTC